CCCTTTGCTCAGAGTTGGACTCTCAACCTTGGGGAAGAAACCAAGAGAGAGAGATTTCCCTCTTATTTGTTGTACTATTGTCAAAATTATTTGTAATATTGCATACATGAATGTAATCAAATTTACTCATCTCAACATTAATTAAAAAAAAAAATTGAGTTATTAAGAGTTTAGATAGTAACTTAGTAAGAAAAGAAAACTTTTAAGAAATTCAGATTATCATATTTTTATTAATATTTATCCAAAACTTTCCTAAAAATACACAAGAAGGTGATATTTTTATCAATTTCCATGATTTTTTTTTTTTTTTTTTTTTTTTGGCATTCTAGGTTTCATTGAAGAATATAATATTAAAGAGTTTTAAGTACTAGAAATTGAAGTGAATAAAAAGAAACTAAATTTTATTGCACGTGTTTGTTAGAATGAAAAATTTAGAAGAAAGTTTTAGGACAGTACCAATTTATAATAATAGGTAAGAACATGATTTTTTTATTTTTTATTATTCATTCTAATGGCATATTTTTTAAATAATAAAAAAAAGATAAATGCTAATTGATTTTTATATTGATTGATGTGACGATTATTGAAATAAATACTTAAGAGAGAGTCTATTTGCACCAAAATTAAAAAAAAATTGCCTAATTTGTTTGGGTCAATCCCTATATCACCATTAATGAAGTAGAGAGAATCAATTGAATAAAGAATTGCCTATTTTGTTTAGCTCAATCCCTACCTCAATAAGCTATTGAAAAACTAACCTTTTTATTTTGGACAATGACATGGTTGAAAAGGATAGGAGGAGAAGAATTTAAATACACACTGTGATTCAAAGCTACAACTCCATCTTCTTCCACAAATATACTACTTAATTTTCTAAATCTTCTAATATGATCACAAGTTCTAATTTCAATAAAATAAAATAAAAATTGACAAAAAAAAAAAAAAAAAAAAAATGAAATACACAACTTACTATAGAGTTATAGACACAATACACAAGACAAATACAAGTATGGGTAGTTGAGTATAAAGTTTTCTACTCCTAGTCAATTTTCAAGTCAACTCTAGTAAGTAGGGTCACTTTGGCAATACATCAAATGATGTACAGATTGATATTGGAACTTTTCAGGAATATTATGATTTAAGACAAGAGAATGATGTTTTCCAATTGAGCCATTGATAAGATTCTAAGAAATACCAAAATGCAAAACTTAGAGCATATGAATTAAGGCTGAAGAAAGAAAAGTCAATATTTGCAAAGAAAAATTGGGCCAAAATGTAAATTTTATTTATTTATTTTTTTAATTACCGAAAAAAAAATTTGAGAGATGGAGAGCTAGATGAGTCACATTAATCTCAAAAATTGCATTTTTATGAAATCTTTTGGTAAAATATTTGAATATGCAAGGAGAATGGGTTCAAAGATGTTAGGGCTTTTATCTAAATAAAATGGAACCACTAAATTTAAGAACCATTGACAATAGTAGAATAAAATAATGTAGAAACTTATTAAATGTTAGGGCTTTTATCTAAATAAAGTAGGCATGTATGTTTGCTTTCTTCAATCCTTGGAGCTAAATATTGTGGTTCAATGGGTTTCAAGATATCCCTTGCCAAAGGTACTTTTTGGTCATGTTGGATGACTCTCATAAGAGAATGGGAGGTTTTGTACAGGGAGGTTTAATAATGTGTGTGTACATTTATATATACACACACACATGTATTGCAGTGATTATATGATATATTCAATAAACATACATGAATATTTTTGTTAGATAGTGTTAACATGGAAAATATCTAAAATTTTGCAAAAATGCCAACAACAACATTTTTAGTTTGCCATTCTTTGTACAATTTATTTAAGTACTTATTTATACTGTTCTTAATAATGCTTTTTATTAAAGCTTGAGAGATTTTTCTTAATTAAAATGATACAATTTTTTTTTATTACTAATCTTTGGTCAACATGACAATGATATATCTTTCTCAAATTGGATTAAAATTAGTCATTTTTTTCTCAAAAATTGAAACAATTGCCAGAGGAAAATTATTTTTGTAAGTACATTTTTCTATACCAATTCTCTTTCTATATGTAACTTATCATTTCATCTTCTTTATATTTTTCTTTCTCATATCAATATGACAATATTACATCTCTATTATTTTCTAATATTTTGGATTATATTTTCCTCCATATATGTACGAAGACAAATATTATTTAAAAAAATAATAATTTATACTACAATTGATTTCTAAAATTTTTAAATTTTAATTTCACCCCCAAACCCTAATTTATGTTCCCTCTGAGTTTGTGTTTGATGTGGGACTGGTGGTCACAAGTGTTGAGAAACAACAATTGCAACATCAATTGTTCGTAGGCAGAACAACAATTGCAACATCATGACTTCAATTGCTTGCAACATGTTCTTTTTATCTTCATCGTCTACAAGATTTCTAAAATTGTTCGTAGTGATTATGATTTTAGAGTTAGTTTGGGACGCAGGAATGAAATGCAAGTGAAAATGGAATAAGACTGATGCAGAAATGAAATGACCATTCTTATTCCACTACTTGGCTGCTAACACAGAATGGAATTACTATTCCCATTCTCCTGTTTGGTTAGTCCAAATAAAAAGCTGGAATGGAATAATTTTTAAATTAGTTTCTTCAAATACCCGTAATATATTATTATATTAAAAAATTATATTGAATGAGATATCCTTATTATTTTAAAATAGAATAAAATATCTCCAAACCAACTAATGTATTTTCAGAAAATGGAAAAATATATATATAATTATCTTATATAATGCAAGACAAATGTAACAAAAACTCGGATTCACAAATATTTCTTAAAAATGAACTAATATTTTGATGGGCTGCCTAATAGTATACTTTTACAAATTCAAATATACCTGTGATTTTCCAAAAGAAAATATTGAAACCTCCCAAAAAAAAAACAAAACCGTTTATTGGGATAAAATATGAGAATTTTCCTATGAAATTGCCTCGCACATCCTTAAAAAACCTATGACCCAATAAATCGTTAAACTTATTTGAGTTTTCTTTAAAGTTACAAAGAGTTTTTTAGTAAGTAAAAATTAAATTTTAGTGACTTGCAAAACAGAACACAGAAACTATCAATTACACTGTTTTCGTCTCATCCTTGTGTGTGTAATCCGAAGGGAGGGAACAGACTGCAGCTATAGACATATTATATATATCACATATTACATAGTGCGTGTATGACTAAAGAGATAGATGATGTGACAGAGGGGACGTACGGGTTTGTGTGAACAAAAGGTAAAGGTTTTTTTTTTGTATTTAAATTATTTTATTAATTGTTGGTTGGAATAAAATGAACATTCCCCAACTCAAAAAAAGGAAGGAACATTACAACTACATTGCAAGGAAGGAAATGAATTGGAACACCGTTCCAACTTTAAAATAACAAACCAATAAGAAAAAATGAATTAATAAGTGGAATGATCATTTCATTCTAACACACCAAATTAATTCTTAGTTTCTTGCAAATTGTTCATCATCGTTGTGAACATGTAGAACTATGTTAATAACTATGTTAATAAATGCATGTAAAATTTTAGATAGAATTTTATTTTACAGAATCTTATGAGAACTTCTCGTTTACCATCTCTATTTGCATTATACTCCCTTATTGCTTACTACTGCCTTAATATAGGCATCTCCACCACTATAATGCATTATAATCATCCTCTGAGATTCTTTCCTAGTTCACCCTCTAAAATTCTCTTCCAGATATTTACAAATCTCTCCACTCTTCTCTAATTCTCTAGATTCTTTCCTACCAAGCTACCATACAAAATCCTACAGCATTTTAGAATCCTTAAAACTTCACTGAACGACCTTATCAAATAAACCTCATGTGTCGCCTATATGGCGCAACCTCCTTTTACGAGCGTAACGTTATTGTAATAGTTATTTCAATATATCATTACACATACACTTTTGTTACTATGTTTTATATCTCTACACGAATCACACTTTCTAGGATTCTTAATTCATGATCCTACTACTATTTCAATACATAATTTCAAACAAACATTCAAGTTGGAACATTTTTTTGTAATATAAGCAGCAATTACTTTACAAACATTCCAGTTAGATAATTTTCTCTAATATGAGCATTACTAGCTGTAATACCCTGCAATATATTGTATACATGTATGTATACAAGATTACATGCACATGTATACATACACACATATGCATGTATTTATATATTGTTTGTTTTTTTTCCCTTATTTTTCATATCATCAGTTTTTAGCATACAACACATTCACTTTACTCCTATAGAGAGTTGAGAGTAACAAAGAAACCATAAGTTTGGTCCATTTCTTCAAGATTGGAGCTGAATTGTTATGAGAAAAATATTTCCCTTGTTTGTTGTACTATTGTCAAAATTATTTGTAATATAGCATACATAAATGCAATCAAAATTACATATCTTAACATTAATTAAATGATTTTTAAGTTATTAAGAAGAGTTTAGATAGCAAGAAATGAACTTTTTTAAGAAATTCAGATTATCATATTTTAATATTTATCCAAAACTTTCCTAAAAATCCACACGAAGGTGGTGTTTCAATATCACGCAAGGCGCCACATCACTGATGATAGTACTATTTTATAGTTTATAATTCATTACTTTAATAGTGAAATCTCACCATTGTGATTTGATTAGAGATTTCAGCTTTGTTAAAAATTCAAAATAACCGTGATAAAGTGTACACCGTGCATAATGTGGATGGTGTACAAGAGAAAATTTCGATTTTATTGTCACGGCTAAACCCTCATTCTTAATAGTTTCATTACTCCAATTCCAATTTCAAGGCCGAAATTTGATAACACATGAATGTCTTATTGGAGTACTTCTCAGAAGTTCCAAAATATACTAGCAGTCTAATCTTCACTCCCAAATTTAAACAGATACAAAGAACATGTAATGAATGCCCGCCAAAAAGTTATAAAGAGATAAATCTGTATATTACTCTATTAGCATTGCTTAGTTTGTGCCCGAAACTAATTACAATGCTTCTCACAACAAAAACAGAGATTTCCACTTGAGATGTCACCAGAATTTTCAGATCACAAACTTGCAACCCGAGAAGGGGAAACATACAAACATGATTAAACTTTGCTTCACTACGAAGTTCGGAAATTAGGAAACGCTTGTGCCGCTTAGCTCAAGCTGTGCCACTGCTGCATTAATTGCATCAATGACATCCATCTTTCCCCTACTCACTGCTTCATCCATTGGAGTCCGCTCGTGGCTAAACATCACCCGATACCATACACAATTAAAGAAAAGGGAAAACGAATACAAATGTCTAATAATCATGAAAACATGACCTTAGGTAAGAAAATGACGCACCTGTTTAAAACTGATAAATTTGCTCCTGCTAGGATCAAATTCTTAACCACCTGAAAAGGCAAAGTTGATCTAATAAGCTTGAAATATGCACACTAATGATTATCGAAAGTAAACACACTTGTTACCTCAATATGCCCATTGAGGCAAGCCCAATGTAGCGGTGTATTATTCTCCAAATTAGAAGCATTAATTTCCTGTTTCCAAAGAAACACTCTCCATATTAGAAGCATAAACATCCTGTATCCAAAGAAACACCTAACTTCTTATGGATTCTTCCTTGAATATTATTTAGCAATCACAGCGCCTACAAGAATGGATACTGAAAGCCTGATTCAATCTTTCTTTTGCAGACTTCGAAAATTTTATTAAAGAAAACAAGTTTAACCGTATTTGAAAGTTAAGAATAAATATTAACAAAATATGTAATACCAACACCAGTACAGTGGACAAGGCTGGTTAATTATCCTCATTTCCTGTGCTTACCCATCTACTTTGGTTAGATTGTGAAATTTCGAATACATCTCCAAGTTCAGAAAGTAGCATTTGGCATAATATTGACCACACAACTGGAGAAGGTCAACACGATAAAAGCCTCCTTACTTTCCGCCAGTCAAAGTCCAAGTTTACAAATTCACTAAATATTAACCCTACCATAATGAATTTTCAGCATTAACAAGGTCATCTTTAAATTTGTCACCTTAAATTCTCCTTTAATACTTAATAATAATAATAATAATAATCATCCTCGCCTTTATCCCATATGGATGGGGTCGGCCACATGGATTCTCTAAAATTTAATTTTTTAAAATCGTTTTTAATTTACCTCATCCAATGTAAATTTTGGTCGGCCTCTTTGTCTCTTACGTTCTAGTCAAACAACTCTTCCTCTTCTAACAGGTGCATCATTTGGTCTACGTTGAAAAAGGCCATACAACCTAGGGGAGTGCTGGCGGCAGTCACACTAGCAACCGTCGCAGCACAGTCGCTATGTGTCAGCAGCTAATAGGCCGCTCAGCCACTGACTTTTTCTTTTTATTTTCTAATTAAGTCTCTGAATTTATTTCTCTCCCCTCCTTTTTTCAGTGAATTTCTCTCTCCTCTCTCTTTCTCTCTCTTAACCAAACCAATCTTCACCCTCCTTGCTTCTGATTTTCTCTCTCCAAAGCAAAATCCGACTTATTGACATAAATCAATACAATAATACATATAGATTATCGCTGGAAGAAAAATCAGACTTATCGCCGGAATCAAAATCAGACTCATTGGCAGAAATCAATATGCATATATCATCGCCGGCCACCACAGAACCTCACCATCGCTGCAGGTCGCAGATCCTCACTGCCGTTGCAGATCATCGCCGCCGCCGCAGATTGCCATCGTAGATCGTCACTGCCGCTTCAGATCGTTTATGGCAGATGAACCACCACCATTTTCACAACAAAACCACCACCATCTGCACCCCCATGACCACCACCATCTCCAACTCCTCTTGTAATTTTTTGACCTTCTTTCAGGTCAGATTTACAAGGCAAGGAAGGATGGTGGAGATTTGTTTGGACTTTGGAGTGAGAGGTTAGAGAGAGAAAGAGAGGAGACAGAAAGAGGCGTTTACCTAGAGAGAGAGAGAGAGAGAGAAAAAAGTCAGCAGCCAATAGGCTGCTGACACGTAGTGTGACTGTGTTGCGACAGTCGCTAGAGTGACCGCCGCAAGCACTCCTCTACAACCTATGTCAACTTTCTCTAATTTTATCATTTTTAGGCACTACACCTAGTGTTCCCCTCACACATTCATTATCAATCTCCTCTCTTCTAGGTACTCCAACCATCCAACGTAGCATCCTTATTTAATAATTCATAATCTACTAAATAAAAAAATTCTTGTGTGCGGAAACAAATTTTACTGAGCAGCATGACAGATACTGCAAGATTTAGGAACCATGATGCAGCTTAGGAGCCCACCCTGAATAGAGGGGGAATAGAACATGGAAATCTCCGGCATCAGTAGGAGGTTGCAGTCCACTATAATGACTTACTTCAAATATCATATAAACCTCATACTTTAGAAATGGTAGCCAAAGGACAGCTAAATGTGAAAATTAGATCTATGACATGCCTTCAATGAAAATACACAATGCACAGCAATTGATCAAAAGGAAACTGTTTAGCAACTTAATTGCATAAAACAAATGTTTAATAGTTCATCTGAGACAGTTTCCTTACCACTGTATTACTGATAAGATAGTTCACAATGTCAAGATGCCCATTAGCTGAAGCCATATGTAGTGCTGCAATCATATATTAGCGAAACCTAAGTCAAATACAAATGAAACTATGCAAAAATTAAGTAGAAAACATAAACAACACTAATTTTTTTTTTTTTTTTTTTTTTTTTTTTGGAATTTAAAGCAAACACACACACAAAACATGCCCCTAGCAGAGCTCAAACCCTCAACCTCCCCTTTGGGGAGGTCATACCATCGGAGCTAGTGGCCCGGTGGTAAATAACACTAAATTTTAATAATAGGATAATGTATAAATCCCTTAGGCCAGGCTAGGCACTTAATAGGGGTGATACATCTCTAAGAAATTTACCTATCAAATAAATAAGTAAAGATTCCCCAATTGAACTAACATGAAAAGGGAAAAAACAACTCATGAAAAGATACCAAATTAGTCAAGAGTAACAAAAGCCACATGCAAGCTTCACGAGCGGAGAAGACTAAGATGACACTAAAATTGATGGAGAAATTGGAGAAATTCTACAGGATGTGCATATGGAGATCCTAAGGCTACCCAAGGTAGCTAGAAGTATGTCATTTTAATTGATTGTAGCTAAAAGTGAACCTCGAGATGAACGAGTGTTAAAGACAGAAAAAATATGCAAGGAAATGAATCCAGTTGCAAACATCTGGAACCGATATTAGTTAACTGGTCTAGTCTATGCTATGGCAACCAAAGGAGAAAGTAAGAACCCATATGCTTCAAGAGGAATGTGCTTGGGATTCAAGAAGAAGGCCACAAAGAACCTGGCATAAGGATATAAGAATCTATATCCCAGGTTTATAAAATATATGACCCCCTTATTAGAGAAATAGATTGCATATAAAATAATATATATATATATGTGTGTGTGTGTGTGTACAGAATGTACAAATGAGATCAACTCACAAAAACACTCTCACCCCAATCCTCAAATTCGCATTCTAAGAACGAAATATGTTCCAACCAGAGAATTAGCCACGATCAAGAACATTCTTCTTCTTCCCTCACTTAAATTTAGTCCATTAATGCACAATGTTAATATCAATGACTTGGAGCCTTGAACTCAAGACACATTATTCAAATTTCAGCCAACATCAAAAAAGATAAATGAATGAGTGCTGTCAAGTTTCTTTTTCTATTCTTTTCTTTTTTTTCTTCATAATTGTGCAGTCATATTTCAACTTAATGATGCAACTCTTTTTGCTTCACAAACACACAAAACGAAAATTTAAAATTGCGTATACAGGTAAAGCAGTGATAAATGTTAGATTAGAAATTTCTATAGAGACTCTAAAACCGCGAGGTTTTAAGTTGAGATGGATCAAAACTAAATATATGAAACGTAACTCTAGTACAATAAAGAATATAAACAAGGATGTAGGGAAAATCAAAAGTCAAGAGATACCAAAGGGTGATGACTGGTGAGTATCACTACCTAAACTTGACTAATTACGAGTAGGAAAAAAAATAAAAATTATAGGACTCATAAAATTAAAGCAAGAAGGTTAGTAAAATGATGTTTTCATAGGTATCAGAACCTAGGTTAAAGGAAAATTCCTAATGAAAGCCTTGCCATTCCAAGGTAGTCTTACGTAGGACATTAATTTATCATGCTTTATTATATTTTGGCAAAATTATTTATTCCGTTGTTTGATTAGGAAATGTGACATGGTCCATATCGAGGATAATGCTAGGGGAAGGGGAAGACCAAAGTTAATGCGGGTAGAATTAGCAAGGAGGGACATGTGGTTTGATTGAGGTTATGACCTTATTAGAGTGGAATGGAAAATTAGGATTCATGTAGCCGACCCAAATAGTTGGGAAAAGGTTTCGTTTGCTGTTTGTTTTTTGTTTAGATAAAGCCGATTTTTCAAGACTAATGAATCTTGGATCCTTAATAAAGGCAAGATTCCCAAAAGAGTTTTAACAAAACCATATATGTAAGGGATCATCATCAATAGAATAATGTAAAATGTTAAATAAAACATGTTTGTTATAATTATCACCTGTTCGACCCTGTGAATCCCTGGAATTAAGAGAAACGCCAGCAGAAGCTAAGTTTTTAATATCATCAATATCATCATATCTTGCAGCCTGTTGAAGAAAATAAAATAAAAGTTATCTAACTGTCAGAATGCATGATTGATTAGCAGCCAACAAATGCTACTGGTTTTATCATACCAGAGAACTATAGTCGAATAACTTTAAAACCGATGATAAGTTGTAGCAAGCATATAACCAACAAACGTTGTGGTAAGACAAATAAAGCAAAACTAAAATGAGCCAAACATCTCTCATAGATCAATAACTATTTACTGTTCATTGTTATTTATCACTTTTTACATATCTATAGTTGTTTTTCTATTTTTTCTATCCTGAAAGGGGGATTAAGTCCCTTCCTTTCAGATCTGTGTATTATTAGAACCAAGTTTCAGATTAGTAAGCCAGACAACTTATGAGACTCAATTTCACATAACTCGGAACTTGGGGTGGGGGGAAGAGGGCATAACATGGATAATTTGGCCTGTTTTTCACTAAATTGGCTAGGAATGAAGACTAAGGCCAATACAAAGTAATGTGTTAGGATCTTAACACACGTTAATGACCAACCCATGTGAATCAATTATCAATCTAACCAAACCTTTAGTAACCTTTGCCCGTGTTATGCAAAGAGTGCAACACTCCCTTCCTCTGGCCACCATGGAGCCTTAACAACCTTCCTGCACATCACCAAAGTGACCGCTATAGTCCTCCTGATCTTGCAGGAACTAAATTGAGTGAACATTGCAACATGTCTCCACATGCTTGCACATCAACTTGCAGCTAATATTGGTTTCCTAGCAACATCTCCAATGCCTATGAGCTTCAACACATCAACATATGACATCTTGAGTACAGTGATATCACCAAATTTATAGATTAGAAGTCTCCCTAGGATTGACATGAATGGATGCTACACACCCAGTTTGTCTCCTAGGCTCCTAGCACATGAGATTAACCACATTATCATCGCATACAACATGAATGTCCCCTTAGCAGTTGCAATTGTTTCTTTATCCTCATTCTTTTTGTCACCTTTTTTCTTTTTGCCACACTTATTTTCACTTACTGAATTTCTTTCTTATATTGTCTAAATTACCACTCCATTTACTGCATGGAGACCTACACTTGCTTCTACCCCAAAACCTCAGTAACATGTGCCTCTGACCAAGAAGATAAACCCCAAGGACTCTCTTGTTGCTCATTCAATCTCATAAACTACTCATCACAGACTCATGGTTACAACCCCATCAGAAACTGGTTGCACGGTAACACCTTCAATATCTTCTAACCATCCATCTAGGTGCTAAGAAGCAACAAAGCCTGCAACTTATTATCAACCAGCATTTTCATTGAGAAGGGTTTTCATACAATGCTTTGCATTTAATTCAAGTCTTCAGCAATAGGAGTTTCCTCCTTGTACTTGTAGTTCACAAGCTTTCACATTAGGATAGTTGTAATCTCAACTTCCTTTCTTTCACTAAGTTCATTCAATTTTTTCAAATGACAGTATATGTTAGTATCTTTCTTATTTGGCAATTTCGCAACATGGTGATACATGATATCATCCAACCACATATGGATATATCCAACAACTTGACGGTTTAGCAATTCCCAATTGTCTTGAATTAAAATGGCCTGATCAAACCACCCCATTTTGGATTGTGGTATATTTTGAAAGAAAGGTTCCAGTTTAAAGCATGAAATCACAGACTAACCCAGGGGGTAGATATATCTAATCTGATTTCCTTCAATTTTATATGATTCCAAGTTGTAACAATGCACCCACAGCAAATGATAAACCACATCACAAACAAGAACACGCATTCTCTACATGGAAACCCCCAACTATGAAAAAATCACTGAACCTCTTCCAATGCCTACCAGTCAATTATGCAAAGAAAGAGTAAAATAAAACTTCCGGTTAAGGACTCCAATTTAAGAGTAAAATACATGATATCTTCCAATGCCTACAAATCACCAGATTTTGATTTACCTCTGATGACAGACTTGTTACTAATTGTCACTAGCCAATTTAAGCCCAGTTGTTGTTCCTACCAACGACCCACTCCCTGCAATCCTTCTTCTTCCACAATGATAGTAGGAACCTACCCGTCAGAATGGATCACCCCTTATAAAAACACTTCATGGATTACAAGCAGTCTGTCATCGAAGATACAATGAAGAGATGATTGTCATGGTTGATAATCACAGCATATACTAGTGAGATCATTGCTTGACTTCAATTGCAAAGCTGCGTATGGTTTTTCATTTATTCCCTAACCATGTGAGAATCAAAACCAGTTTAATCTTTTTTTGAAGAATTTCTTCCCAGTTCTCTCCTTAAAATGTTCTCCTCTAAACTAAATGCATGTTATTATGATTTTCTGAGTTATGATCAAGTTTAACACGTTAAAATTCAAAAAGATAAAATGACAACGTGCAATTCTCAAAACTTTACAACTATCAATCAACCAATGACTTCTTTGATCGATTGCAGTCAGAACAGTAGAAACTTTGGTTCAGTTGATAGAGACTTTCTAGACCAGCTTCGACAAATCAAGTCATAAATAGATTTAAAATTTAAAAAAATAAAAAAAATAAAAATAAAAATAATCTAGAACCTTAGTTTGATCGATGAGTTGTTTTTTGTTTTTTTTTTTTTATCATTTTTTATCAAATCCTGTCTAACTCACATTTGTTCAATTCTTCATTCATAATTAACTAGGTCCAAGGAAGGTGAACTATTCTGGCCAGTAAACAACCTACATTATATGCAAACTACCTAATGTGTGATTGATCATATGAAGGTTCTTGCAGACATCCCTTTCAAATCCATCTTTATTCTTCAATCGCCATTTGATTGTGTAACTTTCTTGAAAATGTGAATCAAACTCAATAGAAACAGATTCCAAAACAAAGGGAAGTAAACAGGAACAAGAGGAATCCACCAAAGAATATCCTTCTCCTTCCCTTTCTGCAGGAAAAAAGTGAGGATTCGGACAAAATCGATGAAACAGAAGAGATCCGACTGAATGGAAAGGAAAAAACAACGGACAAATTCCACTTTCACTTTAAAGAAACATGCTATCAAAATAGCCCAAGTTCTGAGACTTCTTATCTGGATGGGAATCAAGAAAATTCGAAGTTAAAAATACTTGAAAATAAAGAAATTTATATAAAAGAAAATAAAAACCTCTTCTGGTTACCCAACTTTCACTGTCCTGACTCTTTTAAGAATAAATAAACCTTCCATTTTCCCTTTCCAAAATTGATTATTATTTTTCTTTTTAAATTTGATTGTCATTTCCATTTGAACTAATCATTCTACTTGAATTCACCTATATGAAAAACAAAAGAAAACTTTACAAACCTTTAGAATCTAACATGTGGGCTTAACCATCCATATGGGCTTAGTCATTCATAGAATCATATGGGCTGCAAAAAAGAAAAAGAGAATTCGGGAATATCTCAACCAAAACAAAAGAATTCACCTAAAGCGAGGGATTAGGCTCGTGGAGTGGTACATGGTAAAAAGGCATGTACATGGTGTTGTTACTCTATTGTTGTAATATCTCTACGAATCATAGTGGAATCTCTTCTCATCCATGGACGTAGCCCTGAATTTGGGTGAACCATGTATATCTTGTGTTTGTGTGTGATTGAATTATTGATTTTCATTGGGATCTTTGTATTCAGGCAGCACTTCTAAGACAGCTCTACATAAAAATAAATAAATAAATAAAAAGTTTGTTATAAGCTACAACAACACAAAACGAGCTTTAAGTGTTTAGAACTAAAAGAATTTTGCGCTTGTTTAATAGTTACCACTTTAATAGACAGTTGCATTTATAAGAAATGTTTAAATTTTAAGAGAAACTTCTCCAAAATCTCTACTAGTCCTCGAACCCCTATCCAAAGGGTTGAAGTAGAAATAAACTTTAAACCCGAACAAGCTTGTAAGGGCTGATAATTTTAAGAGAAACTTGACTGGGCACTGAATACTGGATGCAAAGATGGTTTCAAACATAATCCAACTACCAAGTTTATCCTTAAATTTTCATTCTACAAATTCAACTGCTCAAAGTAATATAGACTTCCCCATTAAAAAAATTCAATACAGAATTTCAGTTGTATTTTAAAGCTTAGAGCGTTATAAAACACCTTGAATTTCAGCACAATCAGAGCTGAATCACCTTCACACTATGACTAGCTAGTGGATTGAACTTTAAGTTCTCGTTCAAAGATGAAAATTTTCTATTCTCTTATCTCTCACACTCCGTGCAGATCTCCCAAGTTCCACCACATAGTTTTTAAGTCCCACCATACATGCCAATAGAAAATTTTGTATTTGTGAGGCTTCAAAGGGAAGCTAAATACATACAATCGAACACAATAACCAAATCCATCTACCATCTTAGATGTGTATAAGTGAGAAAGCCAAGAAAACCTTTAGAATCTACCATGTGAGCTTAACCATCCATACGGGCTTAGTCATTCATAGAATCATATAGACATATGAATATATCATGTAATTGAAACAAAACCCTAATCGACAATAACGTGTAATTGTACCTCAAGCAAGGCCTCAACGTTCTCCGGCGTCGTTATAGTTGCAGTCTCCTCTGCTCTATTAGCCTCCGCCCCCATTTGTTGCGTCGAGAAGAGAGAGACACCGCTCAACTGACTAAGAATATGCTTTTCAGGAAAGCTAGGTTGGGCTGGGCTGCTCGTTAATTTGGGTGGTTTGAAGCCCAGCCCAGACCAAATATTTTCCAACCTAATTGAACCAAGTTATTCGTGCACAATTCGGAGTGGGCTTGATTAAAACTCTGAGCTTGTTTTTTAAGGCCTGTTTGACAATCGTTTTTGTTTTGTATTTTTTGTTTCAAACATTGTGGAAGTGTGTTTGGTAATATTTGTTACGGTTTGAATAAAACCGAAACATTTCTGAAAAAGAAACCAAAATTGACAACACCAAATTGGTATTTCTGGTTGTTTCCGCACGTAATAATTAAAATTAAAAAAAAAAACTTTTAAATGACTTTTTAACTAAGAATTTTATTTTTCAAACTTCTAACTTTTTTTTACCAAACATATTTTCATGTTTTTATTTCCAAAAATCTTGTAACAATTGAAAAAAAAAAAAAAAATTTTAAATAACATTTTTAGCTAGCCATTTTATTTTTCAAACTTCTAACATTTTTTTACCAAACATATTTTATATTTTTACTTTTAAAAATCTTACAACAAATTTTACGTTATCAATGTTGCTTCTATTTTGGATTAAAAAACAGAAGTAGGATGCAAAAGTCGAACTGGTCAACATACTATGGACAAAAGAGTAATTTTTCAGATTCAAACATTTTATCAATATAAATAATCTAACGTTGGTCTTTTGTCAACATTCTATGTTCTATGAGAGGTCATAGAACAGAAAAAGTGAGTTTGAACTTTTTATGACTTCCAATCCAAGTCATCGTTATCTCTTTTGTTTTGTTATAGACTTTTGCACATTAACAATTCAAATCCCATGCACTGAGGGTTAGGTATTGATTAATTCCAAGTTGTTGACCAATTGAGATGATTAATGAATATTGATGCCACATTTACTTTTTTTCAACTCTTTTTCTTTTTCTATTATTTGTAACGACATATGGTTATAATTAATTATAAATAAAGAGTAGTCATCACTTTCTACCATATGTAAAACTTGGACTCCATTTGATGTAGAAGGTTTTTTCTTTTCTTTTTTTGTTTTTTTAGGTGTTTGGCAAAGTTCCTGAATTTTTTTTTTTCTTTATTGTTAGGTTTTAATCAAATATTTTACTTAATAAATATTTTTGACTATCACACACCAAAAATATATATATATATATATATATATATGACCAATACTTGTCTACTCACCGGTAAGTGTGTAACCTATTCCTAGTGACCGGTGATATGGTCTAATAACAAATGCACACATAATCTCTAGTTACAAAATCTAAATTGAAGAAAAGCTTAGTTCAAAGTTGCAGAAAATAGCCAAGTTCATTCAACTCTTTGATACTAAGTTCTCCAGAGTCCAGATGCCTCAAATTTATGCTGATTGTCGAATGCAGAGATGATTCAAAACTCAATCCAACTTTCAAATTTACCCTCAAATTTTCAATACTACAAATTCAACTGCTTAATGTAATCTAAGACGTTTAGTATAGAATTTAAGTTTTTATCACAAAAAAAAAAAAAAAAAAAAAAAAAAAAAACAAAACAAAACAAAACAAATACCTTATTGTCAATTTCAAAGATTAGAGTATCAAAAAAACACCTCCTTAAATTTAAGAACAATCAGAGATTAAATTAAATTCTTGGTCAAAGATGAAAATTTTCTATCCTCTCGAGTAATCTCTTATACTTTGTTAAAATTTTACGTACACTAAATAGTGCACTTAAATAACTTAGACCTCCAGATATTTTAACATTCAAAATGTACACAATGAGTGACCTAAAATATGTTGATGAAATCAACTAAATAATCAATCAACAATGTTTAATTGAGTCGAGCTATTCGATTCTTTAAGACATTAGAAAAATTAAGAAGTACAAACTTTGCCCCTATTTTTTCCTCTCCTCCATCTTCTCAAAAAACCAACAAAACCGGGGCAATGGTTAAAAAGACTTGGACTAACAATCATAAAAACGTATATTTGAATATAATACAAGAGGTTATATATGTCTTCAATATTCCCTTTCCCATATGGGACCAACAGTGCCTAAAGTAATGTAGCATTTGGGAGTATCGAATCGGCGCTTTGTATTTCGGGAATCTCGGCCCTGCTCGAGACGTCGTTTTAGGTGCAATCTCCTATGCTCTATTAGCCAACAAGTACACAGAACTAATAATAGACGTTGAAGGCTGGGCTACAGCAGATTGATTTGGGCTAGTCGATCTGTAACCCAGACCAAATCTTTTCACCCCACACACATAAAGATGCAAATAGCATTGTTGTATGAGTGATTGAGGTGCTTTATGTGTTCGGGAGTTGTGTTGGAGCCTTGCACTCTTTTTCTGTGTTCAGGAGTTCGTGTTAGAGCCTTGCACCCTCTCCTTGTGTTCGGGTACAGTTTGGTTAGGGAAGTCAATTTAACCTGTTATGTTAGATCTCGCACCTATTGGGACGTATTTAAGATCATCCTAATCAAGTTAGAGGTAAATTTGAAAAAAGAATTTAAAACTCACAAAGCCCTAAACCCGCCTTGATTAATATTTCTTCGGTCCCAAAAAGAATGTCTTTTTTTGGGAAGTATAAATTTTTTAGGGGACATGTGAGCCATGTATTATCCCCTGAACAGCTACAAACTTGCCCTTTTAAGTTTTGAATATTCAAGTTATTTATGTATTTATTATTCCCTCCTTCCCAAAGAGAATGTCTATTTTTCCTTTTTGGGTTGTTCTAAAATAATTGTCCACTTTTCTTTTTCAAACAATATATTTTATATCTTTCCATATATGTTCCTGTAGTGCACTTAAATAACTTAGACCTCCAGATATTTTAACATTCAAAATGTACACAATGAGTGACCTAAAATATGTTGATGAAATCAACTAAATAATCAATCAACAATGTTTAATTGAGTCGAGCTATTCGATTCTTTAAGACATTAGAAAAATTAAGAAGTACAAACTTTGCCCCTATTTTTTCCTCTCCTCCATCTTCTCAAAAAACCAACAAAACCGGGGCAATGGTTAAAAAGACTTGGACTAACAATCATAAAAACGTATATTTGAATATAATACAAGAGGTTATATATGTCTTCAATATTCCCTTTCCCATATGGGACCAACAGTGCCTAAAGTAGTGTAGCATTTGGGAGTATCGAATCGGCGCTTTGTATTTCGGGAATCTCGGCCCTGCTCGAGACGTCGTTTTAGGTGCAATCTCCTATGCTCTATTAGCCAACAAGTACACAGAACTAATAATAGACGTTGAAGGCTGGGCTACAGCAGATTGATTTAGGCTAGTCGATCTGTAACCCAGACCAAATCTTTTCACCCCACACACATAAAGATGCAAATAGCATTGTTGTATGAGTGATTGAGGTGCTTTATGTGTTCGGGAGTTGTGTTGGAGCCTTGCACTCTTTTTCTGTGTTCAGGAGTTCGTGTTAGAGCCTTGCACCCTCTCCTTGTGTTCGGGTACAGTTTGGTTAGGGAAGTCAATTTAACCTGTTATGTTAGATCTCGCACCTATTGGGACGTATTTAAGATCATCCTAATCAAGTTAGAGGTAAATTTGAAAAAAGAATTTAAAACTCACAAAGCCCTAAACCCGCCTTGATTAATATTTCTTCGGTCCCAAAAAGAATGTCTTTTTTTGGGAAGTATAAATTTTTTAGGGGACATGTGAGCCATGTATTATCCCCTGAACAGCTACAAACTTGCCCTTTTAAGTTTTGAATATTCAAGTTTGAAATTTTAAACTTCAGGAACATATATGGAAAGATATAAAATATATTGTTTGAAAAAGAAAAGTGGACAATTATTTTAGAACAACCCAAAAAGGAAAAATAGACATTCTCTTTGGGAAGGAGGGAATAATAAATACATAAATAAATATTATTTTATTAAGTATATTTTTATTTTTCTCTTATTTCTTATGCTAATTTTAAATTTTAACAATATTTTTGTTATTATTAAGTGTTAAATATTTGACTATATTAAAAAAAAAAAAAAAATTATAAAATTTATCTTAAATGTATTCAAATTTAAATGATTTTTCTCTTAGGGTCTGTTTGGTTGGATGGAAATAGATGGTCGAAAGTAAAATAAAAGAAAAGAAAATTAAGTTTCCATGGCGCATTTGGTTAGCATGAAATTTTTTCAAGAAAGTTGTGAAAAAATATTATGTTATTGGTTTTGATAGAATGAAAGAGAAAATAAAATGATTGTACTTGTCAAATTTGTCCTCATAATTTTAAATACTAAAAATACAAATAAATTTGAGTAAAATTAATTCATGCATCAAAATTTGTTGTTGATAATAATATTCTGAATTTGTACGAGACACCAAGTCACCTGAATTTTGTTATTAAAAAATATATATATATATGATTTGGACATTACAATTTATATAATAATTGTAAGGGCTTTATGAGATCGAATAAGATTAGGATTATTCCACTATATGTTTGTTTATATTAGCATAACTAAAATCAATAGAATTATATAAGAATATTTTGTATTATTCTTTTTAAGAAACGTATAAATTCCCTAAAACTTATAATAACTGTATTATCCAAATTTTAAAACCTAGTTGATATATATATATATATATATATATATATATATATATATATATATTATAAATTAATATAATGCAGTTAAAAAATACCCACCATAATATTTTATATGTATATACGTATTTGAAAGGGAAAAAAAAAAAAAAAAAAAAAAAAAAGGGAAAAAAAAAAAGAAGAATAAAGCGATAAAAATAGATATAAAAAAAATGTTAAAAATAAGATCTCCCCAATTTCATGAGTTCATTTAGGTTTGGAAAAAAAAAATCTCTTTCAAAAAGGGAGAAAAAGATAAAGGAATACAACTGATAATTATGGTTATAATAGAAGTTTAAAATATAACCTAACAAGTTCCTTGGGAATTAAAATTTTTCGCGTGTTTTATACCAGAATTATTTTAGAGAAAATTAGCTA